GTGATGATGGTGAAGCTCGATGCGGACGTGAAAAGGCTCGTTTAACACGATTTGCAAATGATTGTTTTGATGTTGGAATAACAAAATTTGACAATGAAGATTTTATTTTTGATGAAGTTGATTTCTATTTTAAAATAACAAAAAAATAAAATCTCAATGATCATATAAAAAAATAAAATAAAATTTAATTTACTTTTTCAAGATTATTTGTTGTTAAATTTTTATCACTATTATTTAATTTATCTATTTGAATATTATTCGAATCAATTGTTAAACCTGTACTGCTATATGATTTTCGTCGACGTGATAAATTTATTTTAGATTTTATTTCATTATTTATTGGTATTGTTGTTGAAACTGAACGTGTTCGATGTAAACGAGATGGTTTTTCTAATTCTTCTTCATTTGATGATGAATTATGAAAAGTTTTTGATAAAGAAAAACGACGAAAATGTGAACGACGACGATTAGATTTTTCTTTCGAATTTTCATTTGATAAATCTAAAAAAAAATTTTATTTTAATTAATTTAAATAAAAAAAAACATAAAACTTCTTGTTTTTTTTTTACCTTGTGAAGGTTGATCAATTTCCATAAAATGATCTTCTAATGGTTGTTCACTGTTATGACGCAGACATTGTTCAACTTTTCGAGTTAAATCATCACTATCATCATCATCGTCATCATCCAACATGGATAATTTTGGTGTTTGTTCAGTAAGCCTTAGCAATTCTTGTTCATCATCTTCAGTATTTGTTGATGATGATGATGATGGAAGAGAAGATATCATTTCTGATTCAGTAAAATTTCCATTTGTTGTAGGAGATGTTCGACCATTTTCTTTTTGTTGATTTGTTTTTATTAATTTACGACGTGGACTATCAACAATTAATGTTGATACATCGTCCGATGCTGGACGTTTTGGAGTCTAAATATTTATTTAAAATTTATTATTATAATACTAAACATTAGCTGAAGTCATCTTTTAATGTAAATTATAAGTATTAATCAAATGAGAAGAATATCATGTTTATATCTATTATTGACATGCACGATTTTCACTATCACATTGTAGATAGTCTCTAAGATTTAAGAATTTATGAAAATATAAGTTTATTTTCATCAGATAGCAGCTCTCATATTGGTAAAAGTTGTGAGATCTACGTATCGAAGTTACTAAAAATTTCTAAAAATTTAGTAAAGTTCCTAGGAATTTGAGCTCATATAAATATAATTATCTTTTCTCTTGAATTCTATCATTCTAAAAATAGTTACATCAAAAATTTGAAATTTACTATCTCGAGGATGATAGTAAGAATACAATATTTGAATGATACAAATAATCAAAATTAAAAAGGGATTGATACAAGTTCAATAACTTGACAAGAACAACAGCTAGAGATCTGTAGTTTTGTGAAATTCAAAGAGTAGAACTTCGAAATCAACATTAAGTCTATAATTAAACATAATAAATATAACTATAATCATCATAATAACTAATCTTTTTAAATCTATAATATCATGAATTATATACGAAATGACAATATCAACTGTGTTTTGAAACTAAATTAGCTTAAGTTTTATTTCTCGTTTAAAATCAATTTATCATCATCAAACATAAGAAAATTTAAAACAGAAAAAAAATGCATCTTCTTTATTTCTCATTTGATTTTTTTCTTCTTCGATTCTCAACATCTTTTCATATATAAGTGTCAATACTCAAAAAATTAAAATAGGTGAAACTATAATCGACATGTCTGAGAACTATTTCAAATAGATAAAATTTTTCCAATCTTATGAAAAAATTTTCTTTCTTATTTGTTTAGTTTTTCTGTTACGTTATTTTTTCTTTTATCTAAAAAATCTCCATCAAACTTAAAAATGACGTCATTATTATTCCTTTCTCTTTCATGCGATATAGAATCATAAGTAAATGAAAAAGAAAAACGTACCCGCACAGGTGTTGGTCCATTTGATATTGGTGTTAGAATATGTTCTTTACGTTCTAAAGCAGGTTTACGTCGTTGAGGTGTTGTTATAGCCATTGTTGTTGGAGTGAGTGGTGATGGATGATCTAATTCAATTGTATCATCTGAACAAACTGAATTTGTTGCTGAAAGAAAAAATATTTATAAAACAAATAAAAACAAAAATCTTGTATATTAATATATACATGATGACATAGAATAGGTTGATCTTTCTTTTTTCTTTTTAACAATACAATCACTAAATGGTGGTCCAGGTGGATCAAGCATAACTGTAACACAAGTTATATTATCAGAACGTAACATTCGTTCACGCCATAATGTTAAAGCTTTTTGTACAAGTTCATGAGATGGATTACGAAATGGTCGATGATCATCATCCTATGAAAGTAACTTTTTTTTTTGTAACTGAATTTTTAATAGACAAAAAAAAAACAAACTTCTGATTTAAGAATCATTTCTTCTGTTTTAACATCACAGTTTCGAACAATTTCTACAGCTGCTTCTGGTGTTATCATATTCCAAAGACCATCACTTGCTAATATTAAACATCGATGTTTATTTGGATCAATTTCAATAACAGTTAATTCAGGTTCAGGTGAAACAGAATAAAGATTTGTATTTGTATTTAAACTCCATAAATCTCCTAATGCTCGTGAAACAGCTAAAAATGGTATTTGTTCATATTCAATTGTTGTTCCTGTTGTTGTCGTTGTTGTTGTTATTGAATGTTGATGTCGATGACGATATTGATGTGATGATGTTGTTGTGCTTTTTTGTCTATTCCAAACAACACGATGAACACCAGCTTTACAAAGAACATTTCCACCACTTTCACGTATACGTTTTAATTCAAGTGGATCTTCAGGTTTATGATCACGTGTTAGACGATTGGCTAACCATGGTTTATATAAGGTTTCACCTTCACCTAAGACAATAGCTGAATCACCAACATGACCAATATATAATTTATTTCCACGAACAAATGCAACACTTGCTGTACAACCTAAAAACAAAAACAGTAATTTTTTTGTTTTTTGATAACGGAGAGGCTGAAAGTTTTGAAAGAAAACATTTATTTATTTTTTTACTGCCTTGAAAGTACTTCCGAGAAGTCAACAGCTATGAATTATAATGAGATGATTATTAGTTTGGACGAAAAATTTTTTCGTATACTTTAGTACTTTTACTATCGCGACTTAAAAATAAATGTTGGAACCTTTATTGATATATCAGCTTGTAGAGCAGAAACTACCCTACAATATGTACTATTGGAGTTTTTATACAGATCACTTCGATTTTCGTTTCTCTTAAATCCTCATTTTTGACGAAAAGGCGTTTTGTACAGAAAGAAGCTCTGAACAAAGTGTCTGTAATTGCACTTAGGTAAAAGCCACAGCATAGTTCAATATAAAATTTTGTAAAGAGGTGTTCCGCTCAATCCTATTCAAAAACAAACATAAACACAAATAAAGAAATTTCCCAGAAATTTCGGAAATTACCTTCAACACAGAAAACAAACTTTTTGGAAACTTCAGTAATTACTCATACTAGAGAACGAAATTAGCAGATAATTTCCGTAAATGCCAAATCCACAAAAGGACATTTATCAGTAATTACGAAAAATACCAGCACATGCGGACGAAATTACCAAGAAATTTCTATAATTCTCAAATTATATCTATACGATATAATAAGATAGATGTAGATTTAAGGAGCCCTATCCACAAAAAATAGAAGAATTTTTGGTAATTCCGGTAATTATCTGGAAATTCTAGTAATTGCAGAAATTTCTAT